AGCAGCGGCGGTGGTGGAGGATGGTGGGGTGGGGGGAGGTGGGTGGTCACAATTAATTAAAGACTTGCTTTGCTTCTCATTAGTTCATAGCGAACTGTGGAGGAATAGCTGCAACCGGTTTGCTTTGAACAAAGGAGAAGCGACTGCCCGCGCGGAGGTGGAAGGGCACTGGGGATTGCTGCTGCCTGGCCGTGGCCGAGCAGCCGGGGACTGACTCTGTCTCACGTGGTTAGTTTCCAGCTGCGGATGTCTCCACCCTGAGCGAAGCCGTGTCCGGCGAGAGCAGGTCTGCGGGCATCCAGACCAGTCTGCTGTCTCCTCTCCTCGCTGAGACCGAGTCGCCCTTCGATCTGGAGCAGCAGTGGCAGGACCTCATGTCTATCATGGAAATGCAGGTGAGCTCGAGGCGGAATCGCGGGGCGGCGTTTGCCCCTCCGGCCACGCGTCGTTGCTCCATCCGATTTAGGGCCGAAGGCTCGTCCCCAAGCACCTGGATCCCGGACGATCGTGGCTTGGGGTTGGTCGCAGCTGCTTTGGCGTTGTCCCCACCGGCGTGGTGACGCCGTGCTGCCCTCGCTGCTGCTGTTTTAACCCTTTTTTTTTTTTTTTTGGCACGTGCTGGGGGCGAAGGCAGGGCTGGAGCGTGGCTCATTTCACCGAGCTGTTCCGCATCTCTTCCAGGCTATGGAAGTGAACAACACAACCGCTGAAACCCTGTACAACGGCACGAGCGGAGACCTGCTGACTTCTAACTACAGCCTGGCTCCGAACACTCCCATCAATCAGAATGTCAGCCTGCATCAGGCCTCTCTGGGTAGCTGCTCACAGGACTTCTCGCTCTTCAGCTCGGAAATCGAAAGCCCCTCCATGGCTGGCAGCTCGGCCCTGCTCCAGCTGGCGCCGGACAACTCCACCGGCCTCAACAGCACCTTCGGCTCCACCAACTTGAGCGGCATCTTCTTCCCTCCGCAGCTGAACAGCACGGTCAACGAGACGGCCGGCCCCGAGCTGCCCGACCCGCTGGGGGGTCTTCTGGACGAAGCCATGCTCGACGAGATCAGCTTGATGGACTTGGCCATTGAAGAAGGTTTCAACCCAGTGCAGGCCTCGCAGCTGGAAGAGGAGTTTGATTCCGACTCAGGTCTTTCTCTGGATTCTGGCCACAGTCCTGCTTCCCTGAGCAGCTCAGAAGCCTCTTCCTCCTCCTCCTCTTCCTCCTCATCCTCTTCCTCCTCCTCGTTTTCTGAGGAAGGAGCTGTCGGCTACAGCTCAGACTCTGAAAACGTGGACTTTGAAGAAGCAGAAGGGGCGGTTGGATACCAGCCAGAGTACAGCAAGTTCTGCCGCATGAGCTACCAGGACCCGTCGCAGCTCCATTACTTGCCTTACCTGGAGCACGTCGGCCACAACCACACCTACAACATGGCACCGGGGGCGCTCGACCCCGAGGAGCCCAAACTGCCCAGCGCGGGGAAGAAGAGCAGCAAGGAGAAGCCGTCCGAGTTCCTGGATAAACAGATGAGCAGGGACGAGCATCGAGCCAGAGCCATGAAGATCCCTTTCACCAACGACAAGATCATCAACCTGCCCGTGGAGGAGTTCAACGAGCTCCTCTCCAAGTACCAGCTCAGCGAGGCGCAGCTGAGCCTGATCCGCGACATCCGGAGGCGAGGCAAGAACAAGATGGCTGCCCAGAACTGCCGCAAGAGGAAACTGGACACCATCCTCAACTTGGAACGGGACGTCGAGGACTTGCAACGGGACAAGTCCAAACTGCTCAGGGAGAAGGTGGAATTCCTCAAATCCATCCGCCAGATGAAGCAAAAGGTGCAGAACCTCTACCAGGAAGTGTTCGGCCGCCTGCGGGACGAGAACGGCCAGCCCTACTCCCCCAGCCAGTACGCCCTGCAGTACGCCAGCGACGGCAGCGTCATCTTGATACCTCGGGCCGTGGCCGACCAGCAGGCCCGGCGGCAGGAACGGAAACAGAAGGACCGGAGGAAGTGAAGGGCCGGCGACGCGGGAGGAGTGGGACACTCGCTCAAGTGAGAACTGGAGAAGGGCTGAGCCTGGAAGTACTTAGAGGAACTTTCATGCCTTCTTATCCGATATATCTTCTCAAAAAAAAACAAACAAAAACAAACGTGACTGCTGCCGGTCAGTGTACGGGAGAGACTGGGAGAGACTGCGGGAGCTGCAGGCTGAGGGGAGGGCTCCCTGCGGGGAGGGGCGAGCACCCTGCACTGCCCAGCCCGGCGCCTTCCACAACCTGGAATCCTTTGAGCGCAGGAAACCGAGCTGGCATCACTGGTGGGGAGATTGGCAGAGGTGGAAAAACTACTGTTAGGAACTGGCTTTAAATAAGAAAAGAGATTTAAGAAAATGAACTTAAAACCAAGTTATAGGAGAGACATTTTTCTGAACTTCCAAAGTTCTGTGATTTCAGGTAGTTGGTTTTTTTTTTTTTCCTTTTTTTTTTTTTTTTTCCTCCTTT